CATTCCACCCTAAAGCCACTCCAGCTCAGACAGCAGATCCTCCAGTGTGGCCAAGCCCAGACAGGAGAGCAGCTCCCTGTCTCACGGTTTCAAGAGACAGATCTGGAGGGGAGCCATTTATTTTTATCTTTCGTTATCCTTGGTGTGTGCAGAAGAGTCATTTTGGCTGTAGAACAGAGGAGAGCGAAGAAAAAGGTGGAAAACTGCCTGCTGTGAAAATATGGGTGCTTTCAAAGGATCCAAGTCCATCTGAAGTGATGTCTCTTGGTCTGGAGGGGCACAGCCCCATGGCAGAGGGTTGGAATGAGATGAGCTTAAAGGTCCCTTCCAACCCAAACCATTTTCAGATTCTGTGATTCAACAAATGTTAACTGGAAATTTATTGTCATGGGGAGGGGCACCTTCTACTAGACCAGGTTGCCCTGAGCCCTGTCCAACCTGGCCTTGAACACTTCCAGGGATGGGACAGCCACGGCTTCTCTAGGTGACCTGTGTCAGTGCCTCACCACCTTCACAGGAAGAATGTCTTTCCAATATCCCACCTAACCCTGCCCTCTGTCAGTTTGGAGCTCTTCTCACTTGTCCTGTCACTCCAGGCCCTTGTCCAAAGGCACTGAGGTCCAATAAAGTCTTTTAAATGTCTTGGGTGTTTATAAATGCCTCTTTGGTGAGTGAGCTTGGCCAAGGATCTCTCTAGCAGCAGACAGTATGAAGGTGCTGCTGAAAAATTTTCCAGTAGCACCAGGTAAACACGTTTGTGTGTAGCGTGTTGGATATATCAGCTTGCATGATCACTGTGCATGACACTCCTCATAGAACAGCTTCAAAATACCCCGTTTTCCATCCCTGTTTTGATACTGACTTTTGAAAACCCGCCTCTGTGAGCAGAGCAGAGTGTTTGATGCCAACAGCCATTCTTTGCAACAGGTCTTCTTGTTTATAATACACGGAAATTCAGCATTATTTTAACAATTGGCTAAGATTGTTTCCTACAGAGCTGTGGGCTGGAGATGCCAGGTCCAGAGAGCTGCAGCATGTTGCTCACGCAAACTCAGGCCAAGGAGGTGGCCTTGACAGCACAGCCCACTCCTGCAATGAATTGCCGAGTTCTCGGATGAGTATTGGGGCGAGTACCTAGGTTTCAGCCCACAAGTTTTGCCTCTTTCTGCCCAAATGAGAAACAAGCAGGTAACAAGTTCAAAAGGAAAATGAGTCGTTTCTTCTGACCCATTGATCCCTGGGCTTCTTTCCAGCCCCACCAAGCCCACAAGTGGAGCAGCTGCCAGCACTGAAGCTCCTTGTACGGTTACCTCGGGCAAGGAGAGATTTCATCTGTTTCAGAGAAAACTCAGCCCACCTGCTGCAGAAAGAGAAAACAGAACCCGAAAGTCCTCTTCTCAGGTGTTCCTGCCTTGAAATGACTGTGGTTGCTCTTTGATGGTCAAGCAGACATTGTTCGCCTTTTTTGTCTGTTGGTTTTTTTTTTTTTTTTTTTTTTTTTTTTTTTTTTGGTTTTTTTTTAACTGCTCGGATCTATTTTTGGTGATGAGGGGATGGTGCTCAAGAGGCTCTGCCATGGGTCAGACCAGTCAGGGTTTGGGTCACTCCGCACGCCAGGCAGGAAATCAAGCACAGGCAGTCCTGGTGCTGTCGAGAGTGGGGGTCCTGGTGGGGGATGTGGGACCCCAATGATGGCAGGGGGCTGCTGAGAGTGGGGGTCCTAGGTTGGGACCCTAATGATGGTTGGGAGCTGCAGGTGTTGCTAGAGCAGGGATCCTGCCATGGGAGGTGGGACCCCAGTGATGGCAGGGGGATACATCTGAGCCCATGGTATCCTTGCGATAGCAATAAATCAAATACTTTTGGGGTTTATTTTTTTTTTCGGGCTGCTTTAACTGGACAGATGGAAGCATGGTTTGCAATGAGAAAACAGGGATTTTTTTCTTTTTTTTCAGCCCCTTTCCCAAGTGTCCCCATGTTATGAAGGAGGCAGTGGGGAGGGTGACCATGGTGTCCCTGTACGGTGTCCCTGTGTGCCACATGCTCCTGGCTGGGCTGGTCAGCAGCAGGTGGGATCTGGAGCGGTGTGTGTCTGTCCTGGTCAGGGTCTGTGGAGCGCTGGGCTTGGCTGGGCTCAAAACCCACCACGTTTGCCCTTTTTTCCACTTAAATCATAGCATGACCCTTGCGAGGCGGTTTGGGCTGATGAGGAGCTGCATCCCCCACCCTGCTGTGGCACAGCCTCACGGCCTGTACTTCTCAGAACATCTTAGATCAATATCTTGGAACAAAAAAAAAAGAGTGTTTTTTGTTCTGTTTCACCGCCCCAGCCCATGGCCAGCATGGCCGGGGGTGGAATGCTGCCTCCAGCTGAGGGGACAGCGAGGTACAGGTGGAGGGAGGGAGGGAGGGAGGGAGCCGCCCACCACCCACACACTGTTTCCGACGACTTTGCTACCAGCAGTTTGTTGCAAACAAAATAAATTCGGTCTGCTAGCGCCGGTAATGGTGGGGTGAGGGAGAGGAACATGGCGGGCTGACAGGGAGGGCGACGGATCCAAGATGGCGTCGTGGCGTGAGGGCAAGGGCGGTGGCGAGGTGGCCACCTGGGTGGAAGCCACCAGCCACGGCATTTGCTGATGAATCAGCCACGGCTGCTTCGAGCAGGGCAGGAAGGGAGGGATGGCTCCACGTTTTCCAGTGGCAGGAGCAGCCCTTGGGGCGGGAGGGGAGGGAAGGTGCCGTGTTTGTCAGTGGCGGAAGCAGCCGCCCTGGGGGAGGCGCTGGCATGGGCATGGGGTTTGCTGAGGTAAAATAATGAGGTAAAATAATCATAGAATACTGAGTTGGAAGGGGCTTATCAGGAACAGAGTCCAACCCCTGGCCATGCAGAGGATACCCCAAGAAGCCCACCATTTGCCTTAGAGCCTTGTCCAAACCCATCTTGAGCTCAGGCTGAGTGGTGGCAAACCTGGGTTTGAGGGGTGAAATGGGGATGTGCTGAGGCAAAATGGGGATCTGCTGGGGGCAAAGTGCAGATCTGAGGAAAAATGTCGACCTACTGAGGGAAAGTGCAGATCTTCTGAGGCAAAATAGGGACCTACTAAGGAAAAATGCACATTTGATGAGGAGGAAGTGCAGATCTGAGGAAAAATGTGTTTCTCTTGGGGGAAAGTGTTCATCTGAGGCAAAACAGGGATCTGCTAAGAAAAAATGGCGACTCCACCACTTCCCTGGACAGCCTGTTCCAATGCCTGAGCATCCTCTAGGTGAAGAAATTTTCCTTAATGCCCAATCTAAACCTTCCCTGGTGCAACTGTTTCCTCTTGTCCTGTTGCTTGTTATCTGGGGGAAGGGATTCACCATGCTGGGGGATGAGAGGGGAAATCCCCCCCACCAGTAAGTGACATGTGGCTCCCTCATTCCTAGAAGTGTTCAAGGCCAGGTTGGATGTGGCTTGGAACAACCTGGTCTAGTGGAAGGTGTCCCTTCCTGTGGCAGGGGGTTGTAATGAGATGAGCTTTAAGGCCCCTTCCAACCCAAACTATTTTGGGATTCCATGATCTACACCCCAAGAGTGGACTCTGGGGACAAACCAAGCTCTACACCCACACATGCTCCTGTCTCCCTGAAGGACACCCACGGTTCTGCTCAAACAAGGTCTGCTGGAGCTTTATGCACAAAGGATGACAGTGGCATTCATTCATGGCACTGAGCATGGTCTAGAAAGATGCCACCAGGCTCCTCCAGCACCAAGCTCCTGCACTGGCAGTTGCAGCCCAGAGGAAGGACTCCGGGTCCAGATATGTTCCTCCATGGACATGATGACATTGTGTCACCATGTGCCTTGTCCCACCACTGCTCACTTGCTGACCCAGCCAAAACCACCCCATGCCTGCCTGTCCTCCTGTGTTTGTGCTCACGAGCTCTCCTTCCACCCACACAAGGACCTATTTTTAGAAGGCATTAATCAAGTGTCAGTGCTGGCTCTGAGTGTGGCTTTTAGCTGGGGGCTCCTTCTTTCACCAAGTGCTGGCAGGAACTCGGGTGTGTGTTTTCTTTTAAATCTAGTTGAGAATTTACAGAATGTGCCGCAGAACAGTAGCGGTTATTTCAGGCTCATCACACCCAAGCCCACACTGAGTGATCACCAGGTGACTCTCCATTTTGGTGAGGGCCTGGCAGACCATCTCCCTCCCAGATCCGAGGTGCCAGCAGCACCTGGCTGCCTTCCCTGATCCCTCAGAAGCCAGCTCTGGGCTTGGGATGCTCAGATGAGAATTAGGTTTCCTCCTCTTGGCACATTTATCTCCTGCACAAAGATATTGCATGGGTACTTTGAATCCCGGAGGAAAGAAAAATGCTCTGGAGGGGTCATAGCCTCCTCAGGTTGAACCCCCCTCACGGGGCTGGTCTGCTCCCCTTCCACCAGGGTCACCCAGCTCTGCTCAGAGAGTCCTGGGACCGATACGTGACCTGCTCCTCACCACATCTTGAGCAGCTCTGATTCAGCAAGAGCTGGGCTTGGGGTGAGCTTGTTTCACTTCAGTTGCTGAACTCAAACAGGGACTTGGTGCTTCTTCAGCTGGAGTGTGACGTGATCCAAGCTGAACTTCACAGAATCTCCTAAGTTGGAAGGGACTCACAAGGATTATTGAGTCCAGACTCCTGACCCTGCACAGGACAGCCCCAACAATTCCACCATGTGCCTGAGACCGTTGTCCAAATGCTTCCTGAGCTCTGGTAGACTTGGTGCCATGACCTGTTCTAGTGCCTGACCACTCTCTGGGGGAAGAACTGTTTCCTAATATCCAGCCTTCAGTCTCCTTGCAGACAGTAGGAATTCCCTCTCTTCCGCCACCAAGTCTTTCCTTGGATCAAGAGCGTGGTATTCTTGACCTCCCACCACTCCTCATGGCATCTTCCCCTCTCAGGACAGTAGTTCCAGAGGGTCACAAATCCTACTGGGGGCCCATGGGAATTGACAAAGAATGGCTCCGTTCAGAAAACCAGAGAAAAAATTTATTATTGTCCTTTATAAAATATCTCCAATAAGTTATATAGGCAAATATTTAAATTAAAATAAATTAACTCTGCTCTATGCTGGGACACACGACTGTCCATAAAGTCAAACTAGGATTTATGTTTCTTTGAAAAAATATGCCCTAGATCTCCGATGTAAGATTTGAAAAAAATATCTATGCCTGGTGAGAGGAAGGAGAATTCTGCACTGGACAGAGGGGTTAAGGTGCGGTGCTGAAGCTGCCTGGTGCCAGTGGCACCTCCACATCCAGCTAAGTGCTAAGAGCATCCTCATCGTCGCTCCAGTCGGGAGGAGCGTCTGTCCCGAAGTACCGATCACCAAAATTCCCTGTGGGGAGAGAGAGAGTCAGAGGGCAGCACTGCAGGAGCCCTGGGACCCATCCTCCTGCCTGTCCTCATCCCAGCAGGCAAGGGGACAGAAGCAGGTTTATCTGACAGCTTGAACAGCATGGAAACTTGAGTGGCAGCAAAACTGGAGCAGCCTGGAGGCTGGTTTAGCAGCCGGTGGAAGGGTGTTTCCTGGCACAGCAGAGGTGAGGACAGAAGAACACGCTGAGCTTGTTTTGGGTGAACTTGTAGAAGGTGGCAACTTAGGGAAGGAGGTGGGCACAGGGCTGCTCTAGCTGTCCCAGCCAGACTTCTCCATCTGGGGCTGGAGGAGGCTCATGCTATGTGGTATGGCACCCGATGCTTAAAAGGGAGTAGCTGCTTGGCAGCTCTCAGAGCCAGCATGTCAATCCCACCTATGTGGCAACAGGGCCCAGGAGGGGCAGTGGGTCCCCAGGTAAAATAAGGGCAGACCTAAACTGACAACCAGGGCTTCACCTCTCCCCACCAGAAGCACCAAAAATCCCCCCGCCACAGGTTATTCCTACTCAGATACTCACCAATGCCAGGGATTATCCGGAAAAGGTCATTCACCTTCTTGTCCACAGCTGTGGTGATGATCTTCACCCGGGGGAACGCATAGGCAACCGAGTGGACACCCATCTCTGCCATAAGCAGGGAGAGGAGGAAGATCTTGTCCTCTGGGACATCATGATCCTACAGCAAATGCACAGGGACAGCTCAGGGTCAGAGTCACCCCAGCCTGTACCGTGTGCCCTGACACCATCCTTCCCATGGAGGAGCCAGTTCCAGACACAGCACCTCAGTTGGTGCTTTGCAGGTTGTTCTGGAGCCAGCCACCCACCCACACCCCTGCATACCAGCAGCACCCGCACTGCCATCATGGCTGCGGCGCCCGTGGAGACCGTGCAGTCCATCAGGATGACGTGGTCTTCGCTGATATCCTTCGGCAGACGCAGGTAGTGGAGCTGGGCAGAGGATGAGAGAGCAGCTTAGAGGCTGCAGGTTAATGGAGCAACCCGAGCACTTCTCTCGCTCCCTCATTCATCTCTATCCCTGGGACCCAGGCTGTCAGCTCGGAGCCAGCGCAAACACTCGGGCAGCAAAGCAGCCCCTGTGTGCACAAGCCCGCTGGCAAAGCCCACCTGAGCAGCTTTCAAAGCACTCAACCCCTGCCAAGATGGACTCCAGGATCACTGAAGAGCTCTCAGAAAACACCTGAGTCACCCAGCACGTGCAGGTTAACACCAGATGTCCTGGGCAGCCCCAGGCTCTACCTCTGGCTCGCCCGTGTTGCAGTTGGTCTGGATGAGGATGGTGCCGATGCGGACGTCCTTGCACACCGCGCGCAGCGCCGGCTCCATGGTCTCTCCCGCGCGCAGGATGGACACCCCGGTGATCTGCAGCACACAGCCAGGGTGGTCACACGGTGTAGGAGCTGCCACCACCCCCACCCCACATGGCACTGGGTCTTGGCAGCAAGGGACTCTGATGGGTAACCCCAAAGCACATCCCTTCCAAGAGGGTGTGCTGCTCCCAGCCCAGGCTGCCTCCCATTTGGAGGGCATGAATGGCACAGTGCTGATGGCACTCTTGGTCACTGACATGCCTGACCCAATGGTCCAGGGTGTCACACTCAGGACAGCAGGCACCAAACCCAGCCTGATGGCAGCCAGGGGGGGTCCTTCCCTGTACCCACAGGGCTTCCAGTGAACCGCCATAGGGCAGGTCTCAATAGTGCTTTGGCTTCCACTTACCTGCTTCCCGCTGTACGTCCTCCCTTCATAGTCGTGTCCTTGAGGGGTCTGGACTGTGCAACTCTACAAAAACCACGTGAGAAGTGTTACCAGCAGCTCTGACACAGCTCTCAGAGGAGCCCTGAAGTCACCCAGCCATGGGCTGGGCTGGACCCTTGGACACCAAGGCAGGACAAAGAGCTGTCACCCATGGCCACACCATCGCTGCACAGCCTCAGGGAGCCCCGGTGCTTTTTAATCTGGGGGAAAGGGCTGATCTATGGGGAAGGTTGGAGGAGCACTACCAGGACTGTCCTGGCTCCCCAGCAGTTTTGGGTTAGAAACTAGAGAGGAAACCCAGCATCTATAGCCCTGAACCCACCTGGAATGGGAGCAGGGAGAGCGCGTGCTCAATCAGCAACCGCATCAGCCTCTTGGAGTAGAAAATGAACTCGTCTCTGCTGGTCTCTTTGTTTCTAGAGGGAAGGGAAAGGTAACATCAGCTGTGGACCAAAGTGTGCCCCAGGAGATGCTGGCAGAGTTCAGAGGCAGCCCCTGCTCCTCTCTGGCTCATTTGCACCATCAGAGCCTGGAACCGTGGTGTCGGTTTTAAGGTTAAAAGCATAAAATTGTTGGCAAGACCACTGAGCACTAACTGCACAGCTCCTCGATGCAGGGGCCACCACCCCTGCCTTGTGTCTCCAGGCTGTGAGGACAGGCAGAAGTAGGACTGGGGAGCCCAAAGACAACCGAGCCCACCCCACTGGCAGCTGAGCCCCATCCCACCCTGGGAGCCGTGGCAGGGGCTTTACCTGATGATGGTGTGCATGCCCCTCACCTGAGGGGTGCTCTTCAGCACACTGAGGGTCTGAGGAAGGGGGTGGCACTGGTGGGCAGAGGCCAGGGCGGCCCTGAAAACCAAACACAAGGTCAGAAGGTCTGGGGAAGGCTGCCCGAAGGCTGGAGCACAGCACACGGCTGGAGCACAGCACACGGCCAGAGCCATCCTCCCAGATGTCATCTCACACTGCAAACGCACACCAAGCCCATCCAGCTGAGCCGAGCAAGCAGCCAGCCCTGCCTGGTCCCCTGCCATGGCAAAGGGACCTGCTCCCATGAATGGGGAGCACTGGAGTTAGTGGGACCTCGCAGCCCAAGGACCTGCTGGGCAGCTGACCCGTGGTTGATAGAATGGTTTGAGTTGGAAGGGACTTTAAAGATCATCTCGTTCCAGCCCCCTGCCATGGGCAGGAACACTTTCCACTAGAACAGGTTTCTCCAAGCCCTGTCCAACCTGGTCTTGAACACTTCCAGGTATGGGGCAGCCACAGCTTCTCTGAAGGTGGTTGGCCCATCTCGATTTTCACTGGTTAGGAAGAAAGTGGAAAATAACCTCAAAACCTTTTCCTGTTCTGGAGTCTTATTTGGTGATGGATCCTGGACTCATAGGGTGAGGAGGGGCTCTTGTGGTTGTCTCTGTCCTACAAGGGCCAGGTGTTGCACTGGCACACGGTTGGAACGTGACCATTTTAGAGAGTACCTTGCCCATTCCAAATTGGGAACAGCTTCAAGACTTTATGGCTGGACAGGAATGGTTCTGTGTGACTCATTCCACATAACAAACAGGGCTGAGAGCTATTCTTGGATCAAGGGAACACCATTCCTGGGGAAGCGCACAATGGAGCCCCATTAGTCACCTCTCCCTGTGAGAGCAGCAGTAATGAGAGGAAGGACACATTTGGCTTCCACAAGGCTGGGCAGGATGGACAAGTAACTTTGTCTGGGAGGAGGGCTGGGGTCCGAAAGCCACACGTCAGATCACACACGTGCCAGCAGCTGCATCCCAGTCAGAGAGATGTTGGGGAGGTGGAGAAGAGAGCAAACGAAAGCACCGCATGATTAAGATTTGAAATCAAGCAGAAACCTGGATTAATGGCACACAGAGGCACGCAAGCAGAGAGGAGGACAGAGAAGATGGGTAGGCATGGAGGAGGGCAGAGCTAGGCAACTTGAGGCCTCCATCCACAAAGCCATCTCTTGGTCTTGGCCAACCAACACCAAATGAGACATTCCCGAGGCCTGTGGGTACTTAAGGGCTCCTTCTTGCTTTTGCCAGCTCCAGTCCTGTGTAGCAGCCAGGAGCCCCCATGCAGGGAATGCTCCAGAGAGCCAGGACAGCTGGCAGCCATGTGGGGAGCATGGATGGGTTGCGATCCCATCGTGGGCTCACCTGCTGCCTGCAGAGGCCATCACTGGTTTGGGACAAGCAGCCCTCAAGGCCCCGGGCCTGCTGCCAGTGAAGCGAGCTCACCCCATTAGTCGCTGCCCCGCGGATTTGCTGCTGTCAGAGCCACTCTCACGCCAGGGCTGTGCTGCCAGCAGCACCCACAGCTCTGCCCCCACAGTCCTCCCTTCCCTCCTCCTGCCAGACCTGGTCTGGGAACAGATCCTGGGGGAAAAGCCCTGCCTAAACCCCTCCTGCCCCCCAGGGTGCCCACACGGTGGGTGAGGGCATGAGCCCTGCTTTGGGCAGATGGTGCCTGCACAGGGGCTGCCTGTTTGCCTGCTTTAGGGGGGCAGAGATGGGACCCCCAACACAGAGCCACATACATGTTCATGGCCCCCGCTGGGTTTGCCCAGGTGACAAACTGCTGCTGCCTAAACCAGAGGAGCTGTTGGGGTCATCTTCCATCTACCAGAGCCCACCCAGGGGCACAGGAATGAGCTTGCCACTGGCACCTCTCCCCTCCATCACTGCCAGGTCTATGTACCAGCATTCTGCCATGCCAGTGGGATGGGCAGCCCCTTTCCTGCCCTGGTGTGAGCCCGGCTCCTGCTCCCTGCTGCAGATACCAGTGAGTGCTCCAAGCTCCGTGAGCGGTGGGAACAACGCCCCTGAACTCTGAGCTGTCAACAGGCCCCCAGGAAATGCTGTCAGCATTCTGTCACCAAGTTTTCTGCACCTTCCTGTGACACCCACACAGTGCAGGGACAGGGAGGTCTGGATGCCATCCTGCTTGAAAGCCAGTCAGTGCTGTGGGAGTCCCTATAGTACTTTCTGGGGGAACAGGTCCCATTTTTGGGATAAAGCTGCTCTCTCAAGTGCCTCCACCCCTGTTTGGTCCACACAGCCCCAGCAAAGCAGGACCCTATGAGCTGCCTGCCCCAAGACCCCCAGCCCGGGTTAGTGAGGCGGCTCACCCTGCACAGCCCTTGCCCACTCCCCGCCATTAGTGTCACAACCAAAACACTGCCATAAGCGTTTGTCTCCTCACATATCCCAGCGCAGCTTCCTCTGGTCACCCGGTGGGAGGGATGTTCAGGGGAGACAAGACAGGAGACACGAGAGTTTAAGGGGAGAGGGACAAACAGGACATGAAACAGAGGAGAAAGCACTCTCATTAGTCAAAGGGGGAAAAATCCCCTAATTGATCAACGACTCTTGGACCTGCCTGGTGCCCAGGCCATCACCATGCAGAAACAGTGCTCCTCCCTTCGTGACTAAGTCATGTCACTGCTGCTCTCCACAGCACCGGCTCCACTGCTCCAGAGACATGGTAGGACACTGTCCCACTTCTGTCCTGGGTAATACCACACTCCAACAGAGGCCCGTGGAGCCTGGAGGGGCATAGAACCATAGAATCCTAGAATGGTTTGGGTGGGAAGGGACCTTAAAGATAATCTTGTTCCACCCTCCCTGCCATAAGCAGGTCCACTAGACCAGGCTGCTCCAAGCCCCATCCAGCCTGGCCTTGAACATTTCCAGGGCTCATGCCCAGCCCTCACTCAGGGCTCTGCTGCAATCCCAGAGCAAGTGCAGGCACCCAAAACCAAAAACCTCTGTCCAACCTGCAAAACCTTCATCCAACCTGCCCTGCTCCCAGGCAAACTGCTTGTGGGCTCACAGGGGTGTCCCCCTCCTGCATGCTGAAGAGATTATCTGCTCAAGCCTTGGAGAGCCTGGAAAGCCAAGAGCACCGGGAACATGGGGAGAAACCCATCTCTGAACTGAACATCACTGCCCACTGGGAAGATCTTCCTTCCCCCGGGCTCACCTGGACCTGCCCTGGGCTCACCATGCCTGGAGAAGGGCTGCAGGCTGAGGGGAGAGCTCAGCCCCTCTGGCAGCCACCCCACCACTGCCATCCCACCCCCTGCTCATCCCAGGAGGGAAGAGGGAACATTGATGCCTCCCGTCCCTTCCTGCCAGGCAGGACTGTGACGGAACATCCAGACGAGCAGCCATGAGCACGTCAAGAAAATGTCTTATTTTGGAAACAATTTTTCCCCCTCAGAACAAAAGCTTTAAAGGGAAAAAAAAAAAATGGAAAGAAAAAGAAAGAAAGAGAGAGAGAGAAAGGGGTGACCATCTCCCAGGAAGGCTTCAGGGAACATCCTCAGCTCTTTGTGGAACATGCTATCGAGCAGGAAGCAGACAAGAAACATCCAGCTACAAAGGAGCTGATGCAGTCAAGGCATTTCAAACACGTACACGGCTGCCTTTCAGGGCTGACATTTCAAACAAGGGCTATTAAACTGCGCCACGGGTTGATATTTAAAGACACAATTGGCAAAGGGCACGCCAAGCTGATCGGGACCTTGGGGGTGGGGAATATTGATTGGCGAGGGGAATCGGCTGGAAAGAGCGCTGGATCTGGGAACAGGGCTGGATGCTGAGAGTGTGGCAGGAGGGATGGAGAATAGGCTGGTCTGGGAGCACTGTGCCTTGGAGGGCATGGGCTGGCTGCTCCAAATCCTGCTACCAGGCTGCAGGAGAAACACCCACCTGGGCATGGATAGAATGGGAGTGCTGGTATGGAATTACCTCTCCAGCACATGCACAGTTCCACAGGGGAAGCTGGACAAGAAATACCCCAGCAGCAAGGATGCTAAGGTCTGACCTGTATTCTGAGGGAATAACTGGGAAGGCAATGAAGCTCCTCAGCAGCCAGCGGTTATAGGATGAAAACAAGCCTTGTAGGTCCAAGGAAGCCACCACTTCCTTTAAACTCCCTAGAATTCACTCATCTGATGGGGGAAAGGCACTCCCTGCCTGTCCCAGCCAGCCCCTCAGTCAGAAAAGGCATCCCTGGAGCACAGCCTCCAGAAGCACCTCGGACTGGGGCCAGATCTGAGCATCCAGGTTTTATCCTCCCAGCACAAAGCCCTCCCTGCGTCCCCACCGCCAGCAAACAGTGGTGACATCAGAACAACAACGGTGACATTTAGAAGAAGCCATTCCAGACAAGAGGATGGGGAATTGTTTGTGATGAAAAGCCCATATTCGCCAGGCACATCTCGCTCGTTGTGTCTCTCCATCCACCTGGTTCCTCTTGCAGAGCCACAGAGGGGCTGGGGGAAACAGCAGTGGCAGTAAAGCACTGAGGCTCCAGCAGTGGAACATATTTGGGCTTTTGCAGGAAATTTTTTCCAGATTTTACGTCAAAGGCATAAATGGAAACCACGAGCCTCAAACGGAACATAAAACTGGCTGTGGCTGTCATGATCACAGAGGTGTTTCTGGAGGTCAGGGTTACCTTTCCAAACTTGCTATCATAAAACTATTAATACTTTATGGATATATTAAATACCTGATTTTTAAGGTGCAGAAAAAGATCACCTGTACTGAGTGCCCCTTTCCCTGGAGAGAAAGGAAATTTTATTTGTGCATATGTGTGTGTGTATATATATATATATATAAAATTTTATTTGTGTATATACATATAATTTTATATGTATATATACACACACACATATACCCCCCGACACACACAAATTAGTGCCTTTGTTAATGTTATTCCTGCCATATTTTAAAGTAACAGATTTCTCTCCATATTAAACAGCATCTTCCCACCTGGACCTCCAGACACAGAGGGAAGCTTAGGTGTCTGTATGGAAATGTCAGGCCCCTGGGTGTTACACAAGCAAAGAGAAATAAAATAAAACATCCACTTGCCCTAGTCCAGAAATGATTGGCTGAAGCAGAAATAAGTAAGGCAGGGCCTCTTCCCTGTTCATCTCAGGTATTTTAAAAGCGCATTGTATGCCAAAGGTAAATTTTAGGGCTCCTTGAGTTATGCATCTCCATACAATGATGGAGATCTAAATGGAAACCCATTTGCAGTAATGCATTCCCTCTGCTTCCTACAAAACTACCTGAAAGCCTTAATGGAAGGAAGAGAGCCAAAGTCCCATCTGGAGGCACATGCTGAAGAGGTTAAGTAAATCAACATATATGTTATAACGTCTACCTGCAGACACCTAGAAATCAGAAATCCTGCTGGAGTTGGGCAGCAGGATTTTCTCAGTCCTCCAGCAGTGGCTGTACAGCCTCTGGATGCAGTGGGAAAGGGGGTACCTCTGGTGATGTGAAGCTGCTACGCTCCTTTGGGTGCCATCAGGCACAGCACTTGTGTGTGGTGAGGGGTCCAGGGCTCCCACCACCCTCAAGATCACAGAATCGTTTGGGTTGGAAGGAAACTTAAAGCTCATCTCATTCCAACCCTCAGACCTTCCACTGGTCCAGGTTGCTCCAAGCCCTGTCCAACCTGGCCTTGGACACTTCCAGGGATGGGGCATCCACAGCTTCTCTGGGCAACCTGTGCCAGGGCCTCACTACCCTCACAGGGAAGAATTTCTTCCTAATATCCAATGTAAGTCTCTCTTCCTTTAGCTTACAATGGTTCCCCCTTATCCTATCACTATCTGCCCAAGTAAAATGTCACTCTCCATCATTTTTTTAATTTATTTTTAAGATGCTTTGGCTAATCTAATAATTTATGTATAATGATGTTTAATCATCAGAGATGGAGAGTTGCTCTGAAAATCGTTCATCTTAGAGGATGAAGAGAAATAAAAGAGCATCTCAGGGTGCAAAGCCTCCCCTCTCACAGAGACTGGGGGTCCCCAGCTACAAACCTGGCCCTGCCCCAGCTTCAGGGATCTGTGCTCCAGCTGGTAGTACATCCCTGGGGAGCAGCCCTTCCCTGCCATCCCAAAGCCAAGGACAAGGTGGCCTTTTGTCACCTTTGAGCGTGACAAGGCCGTGTGCTACACGAGCTGTCAGTCCCGCTGCAGGTCAGGGTGAGGCCAAGCAGTGCCTGGCATTGGAAATGCCTCGGCTGCACAGACAGGACAGAGTGAGGGCTCTTACCTGACACTGAGTTCACGCTGCGGCAGCAACACAAAGACACAATGCAACCGGTATTAAGCATTGTCAACACCAGGGTCGTTTCAAGACAAAAAAAAAGGAAAAATAGGAATATTTTCCTGCATTCACATGTAGCCTTTTACCCTTCTTCCCCTCCCCAAGTCTGCGAAAGCCTCCCCCAAGCCAACCCTTTGCCTAGTTCGCAGTGGAACCCACGGGAGCTGCTGGGTTTGCCACGATACTCCTCGGCTGGATCTCAGAGGCTGGGGGAAAACAGACATTCCCCTCCCCTGGACTGTGCCCCATGGCTGGGTGCGCTCCTCAGCCCGGTGCTAGCACCAGTGCCAGGGCTCTGATCCTTCCTCCTGTGACCAAGGGTTTAGAAACCACATTCCCAGCCTCCTAGAGCTTAATGCTGTGAATCCAGGCAGTCAGGTGCTCCGGGAGGGGGAATTTGCCAAGACACCTTTGCTCAAGAGTGGTCCCTCCTGAGCAGGCATGGGAAGCAGGATGCTGTGGTGTGCCAGCTCCCATCCCAAGGCCAAGCAGCTCCTGCCACCTGAGACCTCCAAAAGACTTGAAGGAATCAAGCCCTTTACTTCGAGGTGCATCCATCTCCAGGTCATGCTTCTTCCACCTCCCAGGAGATCGCTCTGAGCATCTCCATGACTGAAATATCACTAAAGCTACAGCTGTGGGGTGGGAGGAGGCTGTGCTGCTCGGTGACAGCAACACACAACGGCATCAGCTGCACAGGGTCACAAATCACCAGTCAGGACTGGCCCGGGACAAGGGAGAAGACTTGTTAAAGCCAGTGGTGGGGAAGTGATGGAGCATGTGTCTGGATCAAGGCTCAAACACTGATAAGACTTTGGGTTTTGAAATCCAGGGCCACAGAAGTGGAAAAGTGGACTCCTGACTGGAAAGACTTGTGCAGCAGCATCTGCACAGGGGGGAAGAGGAGAAGCCCAAGAGCTGAAGGAGTGGAGGGTTTGGGGTGATGCTGCCCCAGGAGGGCTGCAGGCAAGGGGGCACATCTCTTGGATGACAGAAGGATGGTTGATTTGTCCCCTGATGATGTGCTCTCCCAGGCAGGGAAGGAATTTGCTGCTGGACGCAGCTGGCAGAGGAGCCATGACTAATCAGAACACAGGGACAAGGCAGTTTCCTTCACTGGAGTGAGGGAGAGGGCTGGGAGGAGCTCACAGGGACTCCCACACCTGGAGCACAAAGGAAGCCAGGCCATTGGGCACCCAGAGCATGGCTCCCAGCAACACCACCGCTGCCAGGCAAGGCTGTGAACCTTCCTCACCACCCAGCATCTCTTACCTCTTCCAGCTGGCTGTGGACATGCTGAACAATCAGGTCGATGGCCACGGTGTTTCCACTCCCTGGAGTGAACCAAAAGCAAAAGAATTATAGAATCACAGAATTGTGAAGGTTGGAAAAGCTCCCTAAAATCATCGAGTCCAACCGCTCCCTCAGCACTGCCAAGCCCACCATTAAATTATGTCCCCAAGTGCCAAAAATACACATCTTTTAAATCCCTCCAGGGATAGTGACTCCACCACTGCCCTGGGAAGCCTGTGCCAGGGCTTAACAGCACTTTTGGTGAAGAAATTCTCCCCGATACCCAATCTGAAACTCCTCTGGTTCAACTTGAGGCCCTTTCCTTTTGTCAATTAATACCAGAAAAAGGAGTCACCTTGGTCAGGACCAATTTTCTTCCACGTTTCTTCCTCAAATTCCCCACTGTGCTCAAAACCACACTGTACCCCTGCTTCCCCAAAGAGCCCTTTCCTAGCAAAGCAGGAGACATTCCTGCTTTTATTAAACCCTTATTCAATAATCTGTTACTGGATATCTACAAGGCACCTCCAGATCTTCAATCGCTGTGCTGCCAGGACGTGGCAGGGCAGGAGGCTGGCTGAGGGAAAAGCCCAGACTTTCCCCATGGAACCTGCATCTGGCCAGAGTTTGGAGACACTTGGTTGGAGGGACCTTTGCTTTGGCATGGGACAGCCACTCTGTCCTCGCCAGCTGGAGGGGGGTGGACTGGCCAGCAGAGCTGAGGGCAGAGGGACAGGGTCTCTGAGGGACTGCCCGTCAGGCCAGCCCTGGGCAGGTACCTCGGGGGACGACGATGTCTGCGAGGCGCATGGTGGGCTGGATGTACTGGTCGAAGGCGGGCTTGACAAACTTGTTGTACTGTTTGATGACACCCTCGATGTCCCGGCCGCGCTCGCTGATGTCCCTGCGCAGGCGGCGCACCAGGCGGATGTCCGAGTCTGTGTCCACGAAGATCTTCAGATCCAGCAGCTGAAGTGGGAGGGGAGGGAACAAACCCCACCGAGTCAGGTGTGTGACTCAACCCACCTTCCCCCCGTGCTCAGCACAGCTCATGTTTAACAGTGCCCGGCTCTGCTCCAGCTTTGGAGGAGCTTTTCCTTGGAAGCTGGCTGGTGCTCCAGTGAGTCCCTTGCTGCCACCTGCCCGTTACTCTTGTGCCCTCTGAGACCTGTCCTGCTCCAAACCCCGTCCCCGCTACTGACCAGCTCCAACACACTGGTTGGATCTTATTGAGGAGCAAGGAGACAAAAGGAGTTACTGCCCACAACACTGACCAACAGGGTCCACCCAGGAGCACTGGCTTCTTAATCATAGAATCCTGGGATGGTTTAGGTTGGAAGGAACTTTAAAGATCATATTCCAAGTCCCTTCTATAGGCAGGGAATTAACACTGGAAAGGAGCCCAGCACAGTAGGGCAGCGCATGACTCTGCCCTTACTTGCAAGAGGCAGGAGCAGGGATGCTGAGGAAAGTTTCCTGGGGGATTCACTCAGCTGTCCACTGGAGGTCATCCTTGCTCCAGAAAAGTGCAACCCAAGTGCTTGTTTGGCAGGGGAGAGAACTTTTTAGACAGAGCTTGGCTAAGTCTGTGCATGGCTCACTGTCTGATGGAGCATTTGTCAGGGCTGTGAAGAAGCTCTGAGGGCTGGAGCACCTCTGCTATGGAGACAGGCTGAGAGCTGGGGCTGTTCAGTCTGGAGAAGAGAAGGCTCTGAGGAGACCTTAGAGCTCTTTTCAGTGCCTAAAGAGGGTCCAAGAGAGCTGAAGAGGGACTTTGGACAAGGGCCTGGAGTGACAGGACAAGGGGGAATGGCTTCAAACTGACAGAAGGCAGGGTTACATTAGAGATTAGGAGGAAATTCTTCTCTGTGAGGGTGGTGAGGTGCTGACACAGGTTGCCCAGAGAAGCTGTGACTGCCTCATGCTCGGAAGTGTTCAAGGCCAGGTTGGATGGGGCTTGGATCAACTTGGTCTAGTGAAAGGTGTCCCTGTCTATGGCAGGGGGGTGGAATTGTATGTTCTTTTAACATTCCTTCCAACCTAAACCATTCTGTGATGTGTCCAAATAATTCCCAAGAAAGCCTGAACCGCTGGATGAGTCCGTGCTAGGAACACCAGGTTTGTGCACTAGAAGTTCAGCAGACTTTGCCTCTGGCTACGCAAGCTGCAGCAGTGTGGAGGTGAGCTATTTCTAGTTGTATTTATGCATCAGCACTGCCAGGAACCAGGTCACCACTCAGCACAGCTCCTGGTTCCTGGGCACAAATGGCTGAGATCGAGGTATTTACTGAAACATTTGACCTCTGCCAGGGCTCTTCCCCTGCTGCTGCAGAGTCAAAGCCTATTTCTCCTGCACAGGGAAGTTCTACAGTAGCTGGTATAACCTGGAAGGGAAGGTCACCTCCCTCCTGCTGGACCTCAGGAGAAAGCATCTTCCCACCATCTCCTGCCAGAACTGCTTAGAAACCCTTCCTCACCTTCAGGAGCTCCTTGTCTGCGAATGCCATGATGCCTTCAAAGATAATCACATTGGCGCCATACAGGGTTTTCTGTGGAGTCAAAATGGATGTGGTTAAGCACAGAACATCTGTTCAGAGATGCCTCGTCCCAGGGAACCTCTCTGGGTTGTGAGTGACTGCGACAGCTCACCCAAAAACGCTCCCTGAGCCAGGCACAGGGCAGAGGGCAACAGCACAGATCTGACTGCAAAGGGCAGGGGCTGGAGGGGTCCAGTTGGCTCCCTCTCCCCTGCCTTGGCCGTCCCCCACCTTGTCCCACCCCCCTCGGTGTCCCATACCCATTCCTTCTTGCGGCTGTGGGTGGTAAAGTCATAGATGGGGATCTTGACACTCTTGCCTTGCTTCAGCTTCTTGAGGGTGGCGATGATGAGGTCAAAGTCAAAGGCGTCGGGGTGGTCAAAGTTGAAGTCATTGCTGGCTGCCTGCTCCTGCTGCTGCTTGGTCAGCACCTGCCACAGAGCAGAGCTTAGGGCATGTGGTCGTGCACTTCCCTCCCCAGTGCCGTGCCCAGTCACCTCTTCCCTTGAACGCTTCCAGGGATGGGGCAGCTACAGTTTCTCTGGGCAACCTGTGTCAGGGCCCCACTACCCAAGGGTTATGCCAAGGGCCATGGTAGCCTGAGGAGCCTGGCCAGGGCCACGTGCAGCCTCACCTTGTAGAAGGAGTCCATGGACAGCAGAACCACCCATGGGACATCAAGAGCCTCAATGATCATGGTGGCCACTGTGGTCTTCCCAGAGGCGCTGCCTCCTCCCAGGCCTGCCAGGGAAAAGGGAATGGAGTCATCAACCCCGGGCACAGCCTTTCCCACCACAGGCTGGAGCCCAGGTCCCGCACTGTTGCACTAAGCTGGAGGAACCTTCAAAGAGGGAAATCATAGGCACTCCAAGAGATTATCCTTGAAAAAGTCAAGTGGCGTGTACTGGAACTGCCAGCAACATGCCCAGCAAAAGCTGGGAAACCCTTCACTAGATGGTTGTGTAACACGGTGAGAGCTGGCATGGGAACCAGCCCAGACTAAATCCCTGGGAACTCGTGACAGCCCAGGCAACAGGAGTTGAGGGAACAACAAAGACTCCGGTCTGCTACAATCCACCAGCCCCTCTGCACACTCTTGGTTTCAGCCCACCCAGCCAATGCTGGGCTAACCAAGGGGACTCTCCCTGCTCCTGTTTGGGCTGGAGCCAACCCCAAAATTCCAAGGAGGTGATGTGGTAGAAATCCCCCCACGATCTCCTGGAGACCCACAGGGCAGGTGGCAGCGATGCTGCCTGGGCGGTGTAGAGGTGTCCTACCTATGACGAAGGCCTCCTTGGACTGTGTCCCGTGCTCGTTGTACCACGGCGGCCGGCCCGCTGTGTAGATGGTCCTCTTGCTGGTCCGCAGCAGTGGGGGCTCAGACTTGCACTGGCTGGTGGTCCGCTTCCGGGGGGGCTTGGTGGAGCCCACCGTGGGATACAGCCGGTCCAGGGATTCAGCACTGCTGTTACTGGGGACGGCGAGAGGAAGGAGCGCAGTTACTGGGAGCAGGGAAGGACACGCGTTCCCGGTGTGCGGGAGCAGGGTCCTGAGGGGATCCCACACCACATGGATGAGGAATGCAACGGAAGAGGGGGAGGGGCAGCCACAGCCCTGCTGCAGCACTACCAGCACCCACACCTCCGTGACCCCGGGCCACGGCCAACCCTGAGGAACTCTTACACAGGAGCAGTTTTAACCTGGAACAGGCGCAATGCAAACCTCCCTCCCTAAAGTCCTGCTGCCTGGGGAAGGTCTGTGTGAAATAAACCACCCACTGAGCTCTTGAAACACAGAGGGGTGTGTTACAGGGGACAACAACCCATTCTGATGTGCCAAGGGACCTTTCTTGGGGATAGAAGTCAAACACACGGGCTACAGCTAAACTGCCCTCATCCCCTCCACCCCCAGTTCCATTCCTCTCCCCACTCTGAGCACTGCACTCCAACTCAAGCTCTAGTTCTCCCACTCCTTTGTCCTGAAGCCCCTGGGGACAAGCCTGTGAGCTGGGCAGAGCCAGGCAGTGTGACTGCCAAGATGTTGGCATCAGCTTTGCCTTGGGAGCTGGGTGAGCTCTGAGCTCACCTGGAGCCCTGGAGCAGGCTCCTCTCCCTTATCTACCCTCCCACCGCAGCCCCGGGGAGGGAGAGGAACAACACACCCTCCTGAGCCCTTTCCAGCTTGGCAGCAGGAGAGCAGTGGCTGGGAAATGATAAGTGGCCTCTGGCCAGGAGATAAGCTACAGCCACTGCCCAGCCAGCGCGGGCACGGGGAGGATTATTTATACCAGTGCCCTCTCCTCCTTGCTTGTGCTCCACCACCTCAGAGGGATGTCTGTTCCCTGGGAGAAGGTGCAAAGGGCTCCTCCCTGCTCAGGTTGCTCTTCTCCTTAGCCATGACTGGGCTGGAAGGGAAACCAAGAGATCTGGGCACCAATGGCTCCAAACCAGGGCTATTTGGTACAGCCCAGCCAAGTCAGGGGGGCTTTGCTGCTGCTCTATTATGGTTTGCTTTTGAAAGGGCTTAAACTGCAGGGCTTTACAGATTTTGGGTTGATTTTAAGCTGTTTTGGTATGAAGGTTAATTCCCTTCCCTCCCTGAGCCCCTTTTAGAACAATTTTAGATAAAGATCAAAATTTCAGACTGGCCATCTGTGCGTGAAGTGACACAGTAAACCTGCTGGGCACAGTGGGGATCGCCCTGGCAAACCCCCTGGGCATGGCAGAACCCCCCCAGGAAACCATCCCTACCTCCTGCACCGGCACATCCCTGCGGAGTAGGCAAGGAGACAGGGATTTGCCTGACTTTGCTGAACTCCTGCTAACAAAAGGCAGGCTGCAGCTCCTGCCCCTGCACCAAGACCTCTCCCACCGATGCCCACCTGAAGGTGTGCACCCACAGAGTGTCCCACAAGAGCCTCAAGCCATCAATACCCCATCCCCTGCCAGAGGCCATCAGCACACACAGCCAGCTCCAAGTGGGTTCTAGCTCAACCAGGAGCCAGGAACACCCCAACTATCACTTTTAAAAAGCGATCTCAGGAAGTGAGACCCATCAGGAAACCTTCTGGGGTGTCTACCAAAATGGTTCTGTCCACCAGGAGCAGCAAACCCAGATGGGTTATATGGGTCTCCTTTCCCAATGGTGCTATTCCCAGAGTGGAGCTGACAAGCAGCCGGCGGTGCTGGTGCATGAACAAAGTCACTTTGGCTTGATAAAAGCAGAGATGACAAACCCACAGTTGTTTACCAGAAAAATAAAGCGGTTCCTTTCATCCACATCCCGGTCCCTCTCCTGGGACCTGTGGTTACTCCAGAGCTCTGCCACTGGCGCTGCGCCGTGGGCTGCTCGGCTGGTTTTCCTCTGGGAATGCACGTCGGTCTCCATGCGACAGGCGAGCCTGTCGGGATGCTCTGCTCCTTGGGGTCACACAGCGACAAGTTCTGCTGTGCCAGCTCGCAGATCCTGACCTAGGCCATCATTCCCAAAGTGACTCCGAGTCAGGGAAAGCTCTGTTTTTCAGAGCAAGGCTCACCTCTGCTACCGGTGCCTCTGACCAGCATCGACATCATCCAGCTCCTGGCAGGGACAGGGAGGTTTGGACCCTGATGGCTCTGGCAGTGCCCAGAATTACAAGCAATGGCCACAGCTCCATCCTGTTTTCCCAAGTGTCATCCCTCCCCTCTGCTCTCCTGGGTGCCCACAGCACACCCAGGGTGTTGGCATAGAGGGGACATTCCTGTGGGATGCAGGGACATGCACCCCTGGGAGAGGAACAGAGCCCCTCACACACACCTGGGGCTGCTCTGGGATGCAGCACTTTAATCCTGTTCCAAGAGTTGGTGCTTTGCCTCATCTCATCCAAATATATCTGGGCTTTCACCAAAATTCTACACATTTCTATCGATATCATCTACACTGTTGGTGCCTGTACAGGAGGCAGATATTCTACACCTCTCAAATCCACATTTCCCAGATTTATGTGGGAGGAGGGCTGTGGGGCGGTCTGCGGGGCTGTCTCAGAGCTCTCCAAAGGTCATGCCTTTTCTCCTAATGTTACACTTCAAGATTTGTAGATGTTTTCCACTTCTGCCTTTGCCAGAAAGGGGCTCTTCCCAGCTCCAAAGGGATGGCTGATCCAAGCCATCTCCGCTGGCCGTTCTTCCCTATCCCCTTTTAAAATTTCCTGTAGCAGTGATGAAGCCCCCACAATGTCCCGACCTGCAGAGCCCTGAGAGAATGGGATCCTGTTTAGAGCTGGAGTCCATGCCATTCCTTGTTCCACATGGACCCTCTTCAGTGCTGTGGATTGCTGGGGTTCAGCAGCTCAGTACCACAGCCAGGCAAATAGGAAAGGAAACATTACCCTGGCTTGGTAACCCCTCTCCTGTCAAACCTACCTGGAAGGCCTCTCCACAGGCTGTCCCCAGCTTTTGGGGATGCTCTGCCTTCCCTGCAGCTGGTGCATCCTCGTTGGAGCCTCCTCGAGGAAGCCTGGTGGAGGGGGTCTGCTCCCCACAAGGGCTCTCCAGTCCTGCTGCCATACCAGCACTAATGCAGGAAGCATTTTGCTCCTGCTTAGTCCAAGCATGGGTTTACTGAGGTGTGAGAGGCACCTCTCTCCTTCCCCACTGTGCTCCCATCCCCAGCCCTGTGCCCTGTGCTCAGCTCTCTGCATTCCGCTGCCTTCAGAGAGCCCTGACCACCCTGGATCCCTGCTGGGCCGGGATGAGAAAGGCAGCAGGTCCCAGCAGCGCCTACAGCAGCAAGGAAAGATGGCACAGCCCCAAACCTGAACTTGGCAGTGGACAGGAGAGCATGTCCTGGGCTCTGCACCCCGTAAACAACCCACCGACTGAGCTCCCAGCCCTCAGGACCCCCCAGCAGCCCCCCAAGCCTGCCAAGGCGCCCGGCTGGCCACAGCCATGTCCCACGGGAAACTGATCTTTTCCAGGCTGCTGCCTGCGCTCTCATAGCCCTCAGCCTTCAGACGGGAACTGGAGCTGGGAGACTGGGACTGCGGCCACCGAAGGTTCGCTCCAGCAAGCAAACAGGTGAAAACCAGTAAAATGCACTCAAAAATGAGGCAAAACTCACCCGCCATCCGGTCCGAGGGCCCAGCAGCCTGAGATGCGGACGCTGGAGAAGGCTGGGGGGCTGCTCATCTCCCCCCACTGCCGAGCTGGGGGTGGTCCTGGACAGAGGGTGTCACTCCCCGTCCCTGCCCGCACCTCGGCGCCTGTCCCCAATCTCTGGCACTACCAGGGTGGGAAGGCAGCCGGGCAAGCCTTGGGGTTCGGAGCCATGCACGGAGCGACCCCCCCAGCACTGGGACTGCGGGGTCCCGAGAGGCCGGGCTGACACAGACCCCCGGCAGATCCAGGGGGCTGGAAGATGGAGGCAGGAGAAGCGAGCAGAGCCGGGGGAGTGTCTGCGTCTGGGAGCTGCGCAGCGGTCAGCAGCATAAGAGGATAGCTTAACCTCCAGATTACGTTCATTACCTGATATTAATAGCACTGGCTTGATTAAAAAAAAAGCGGGGGGGTCGGGGATGAAGTGACACCTCCCCTCACCGCCCCCAGCACACGCAATAAACACCAGCCCCCGGCGCCTCTGCTCCCCAGGACCGGGGGTGTCTGACCGCCCTGGACGAGGGGGCTCAGCAGGGAGGGCACCTGGTGAGTGACATCCACATCCACGGGCACTGGTGAGTCCCCAGTGGGCTCCTAACACTGGCGGGGAGGGGTCTGCAGGGGGGCAGGAGGGGATGGTCCCAGGGCAGGGATGGAGGGGGTACCCAGACAGCACCCCACGTGCAGCTGGTGGAGCAGCTGGGGCTCAGGGCCAGGGGGCTGCTGGCTGTGCTCGGCTTTTTGGGGCAGGACTCATCCCCCTCCCTGAGCTCCCATCGGTGGGGGTCCAGCTGTGAGTTCCCCACCCTTGGTCACTCAGCTCCCCGAGAGCTGCCCCTCACTGTCCCCTCAGCCCTGAAGTAAACAAGTGGGTGAAACTCAACACCCTGGAGCTGCGGGCGGCTAAGAATAACGTCCTGCTGGCTGCTGTGCCCGGCCATCCGCTCCCTCAGCACCCCCTGCCAGCTGCCCCTTGCCCCCCCTGGGCCGACTGGCTGGCCAGGCACCCTCTGACAGGCAGGACATATGCCAAGAGTGGGAGATGTTGGGCACCACAGGAGGGGGATCCCAGCCAGCCCTGGTGTGCAGGGGCTGGGGCAGAGCAGCCCCCACCCCACAACCCCTGGCTGCTGAGGAAGGAAGAAGGTGGCAGAGGACACCTTGAGGGCAGCCAGGCTCTGCCAGGGACATGGAGCATCCCAATGATGTTCCATGGTCACCAAGTGAGACTCCAGCCTCCCGAGATGGGACCTCGGCCTCTAAGCTGAGGGGGTCTGGGGTGGGTGCTCCCTCTTGCTTAGCACCAACACCTGGAGGTGGGGCCAGAATTGGAAAAAGACTCTTTCCCCCTCCTCCATCTTCTGGAGCCACCAGGGCTATGCCAGAAGCAGGGGTCACACACCGCATTCCGGTGTCCTCAGCAAACACCTCCGGAACAAGGGGGGCATCAGCCCCCTCCTGCTCCTGCTCACCAACAGGACCTGCAGAGGAGATCATTGCCCCAAAAGATGGAGACCTGATGGGAACCAGGGATGAGGGGCTGGTCCTGAAGCAGGGGACAGGGACAGGAGGGTTTTGGGGTAACCTGTCCCCAGTGTGAGCTGCAGCTGCTGCCCCGACATCAGGGAAGTGAGCGATGATCAAAGGAACTTTTCCACCTCTGATCTCTGCCCAGACTCTCCTCTTGCTGTAAAAGCTCTCTCAGAAGTTTAAAAATAAAATTCTCTTCCGGAGCCATTTCTGTTCCTTCTCATTAAAGAAGCAAAAAAGCAAAGGGACGGGGGACGCGGCGCGAGGAGCCCTCGCCCAGGGATATTGTTCCTTATCGCACGCTCCTGCTGCCACTTTTCCTGCCTTTGTTAAAATGTCCCAGTGACAGGAGCAACTCTCCCAGCATCCCACTCAACATCCCAGATTCCCAGGTGGGACAGGAATCGCCTGCACTGCCTCCAAACCTTGGCAGCGACAGAGCCTTCCTCCTGGCACACGCTCCTCTGCAGATCTCCTCTGCTTCCCAAGTCCCTTCATGGTTGCTGAGCTCTCACACAGGCCAAAAGTCCCTGGTTTTGGCCTTTTTTCCTTCTAGATGATTTTTAAGCGCAAATCCCTCCTCTAATCAGCCTCCAAGAGCTGGACTTAAAATTGTGAGGAAGAGGAAACCAGACACAAAGGCCAGGATCCCCTTTCCCTCCCAGCGATGGGTTTCCCATAGGATTTAAAGATGGAAGCTGGACTGCATGTGGCTTTTCCTGGTTTGGTCATGCATATTGTCACTGGATAGGTGCAAGAGATGTGGACACACCAAGCCCAAAACAGAGGGATGCCTGTTCCTGGGAGAGGGTCCTGCTCCCAGATCCCACCCTGCAAGCAGCACCTGCAGGAGCGTGGAGGCCAAACCTGCTTCCTCCATCACTGAGCTGGGCTTTGTTGGGCTGGATCTATGTGTGTCAGCCCTTGGATGGGCCTCGCCTGTCTGGGGAACCATCCCAGGGGATGGAGGAACCCACCCATGTGATGGAGAAACCCACCCAAGGGATGGAATAACAAGTCCAGGGGATGGAGAAACCTGCCCGAGGGATGGAGGACCTCAGCCGTGGGATGGAGGAGCCTGCCCAGAGGATGGAGGGACTTGCACACAAGATGGAGGAACCCGGTCATGGGATGGAGGAACCTGCCTGCCACCCCACTGCCAGTGGGGATCCAGGGGCACCAAGACACTGCCTGGTGGTCACGCCGTGCCGTGCCCATGCCGTGCCATATCCATGCACATCCTGTAAACCCATCACGTTTACCCAGCCTCGTACCAACCTCTGCCCTGGCCAGAGCCACCCAGAGCCAGATGGTTCATCCCAGCAATTCCACACACACACATGCTTCCTTCCAGCTCCATTACAGTCTCTGCTCCCTCACCACAAAAGGACAAACATTTCCCTCTTCAAACTCAATTATCCGCTGCTATTTATACCGAGCGGGAGCCGCGGTGGAAGGGGCTCTGTTACACAACCCAGTTACTCATCCCTCGCTTGGTTGGCACGACTCGGGGAGGCTCCTTCCTCCCATCCTCATCCTCATCCTCCCTGCTACCCACCACTGACTCACAGGAAAGGCACAGGCAGCTGCCAGCAGTGGATTTAGCTCCTGGAACACGCAGGATGGTTTGGCACTCACTCTGGGGTGTCGGTCGGTGTGGTGGGGTGTTGGTACCCTACAACTAGGGATGCAGGGATGTTCCATCCCTATAAGCTTTGCCACATCATTTGCCACACATCATTTGATGCTCCAAATCCAATTCCCAGACATTTGATGTTTGGGAGCAGTCAGTCTCCTCAATCCCTGAGGATTGAGCTGGAAAAGGGGGTGGAAAATGGAGGGAAAACATGAGAGAGAGTGTGTGTGTTGTCAGAATTGCCTTGGATGGGGTTTTTGGGTGTAAAAGTTTAGGTTGTCCCACTCCTCGTGCTTGATGGAGGGGATGCATGTACCAGCAAGCTTGGAAAATGGGAGCTGTGGTTTATCTGCTGGGAAATTAAGGGCAAAACCCATAAAATAAGGGAAATAAGGAGAAAGGTGACCACGCGAAGGAAAAAAAAAGGGGGGGGGGGGCGAAAATAAAGAAGGGATAAGGTGGGGGTGGGAAAAAATAGTGGTTGGTGGGAAAGCCGAAGGGTTTTAATGGTGCGATGGGCTCGGGGAGGCCCCACTCGCGGAAGTGGCATCGTGGGGGACGGGACCGGCACCGCAACGCCCCGGACGCGGCGGGAACGGGGAACCGGCGGCTCCGGGCACTGCGGTGCCGGTCCGTCCCGGAGGGATTATCCCGGGGAAAAGAATGCGGGATCTTACCTGTCGTGCGGTTCCACCGGAGCCCCCTCGGGCACCGGGGCCGCGGCCATGGTGCTGCGGGGAGAGGCGGGAGCGGGCGGGGAGCGGCGGGGGCGGTGCTGGCGCGGGGATGCCCGGGAATTGTAGTGCGGGACCGGGAGGGAGCGGGAAGGGGGGAGTGGGGAGTGATTTGGGGTGATGTGCGATGGTGGGAGCACGGGTGGGTGCTGTGGGGGGTAGGTGGGTAGCGTGGGGTAGAGGTGGGTGATGCGGGGTGTGGGTGGGTGCTCTGGGCATGAGTGGGTGCTGGGGGGGGTAGGTGGGCACTGTGGGATGCAGGTGGGTGTTGCAGCACAGGTGGGTGCTGTGGTCATGGGTGGGAGCTGTGGGGTGCAGGTGAGCACTGCAGGGTGATCTCAGCGTGGCTGGGCGCTGTAGGGCACAAAGGGGGGGGTTGTGGGGTGCAGGTGGGTGCTTTGGGGACGAGTGGGTGCCGTGGAGTGAGGAGGGTGGGTGCTTTGGGTACGAATGGCTGCTGTGGGCACGAGTGGGTGCAGGTGGGTGTTTTGGGCATGGGTGGGTGCTGTGGGATGCAATAAGTGCTGTTATCATGGGTGAGTGCTGTGGGGCAGCTCTGCACCCCATGCCCAAGCAAACCCTCCTCCCCTTTCCCCCCACCCCTTATTGCTGCCAGCAGAACTGGGGGCAGCAGGATTTGGGTGCTCCCAGGCCCTGACCTGGTCACAGGACAGTGGAGAAGCTGGGGGGACCCCAGCCCTGTGGGGTCCCAGGTTTTCCTTGGCATTGTGCTTCCATCTTGTGTCTGGGGTCCCCCAGAGCAGAGGTTTGTGTTACCACATGTTTGGGGCATGGCAAGTGCTGCTTCTGGGGTCCCCATCCTGCCTTTGGGGAGCCGAGAGCATCCGTGAGGAAAGGTTGGATTCTCAGCCAGCAGGGAGATCAGTCTAAATCTGTCCCTGACTTGGGTTCGGTGCCAATAAAACCATTAGGGAGCAGAAGAGGATTTATTCCCACGCTGGGAAGACCGGGAGGTGGGGCCCGGGTCCTGCAGAGCTCCCTAGGAAGGAGAGGTCCTGGGCTGGATGCGGCCCCTGGGGCTGGGAGACACTGGACGCTGCTGATGGCATGGGTGGATTGGGAGCAGCTTTAGGGGGATTTCTACTCCTAAAATAGGGGAGTCGTGGGCAGTTGGGCACTGGGCTGTGGGCACCGGGGATCCTCTGGCTCTGGAGATCCTCCTGTCACCAGGATTGCCAGCTGTGCCAAGTGCTGGTGCAGGAAGCATCCCTAGTCCTCACTCTCCCCAGCCTTCCCATTCCGGTTTTGGACGCACCCCTGGGCCAGGGACCGTGCGCTCAAACTCCAGTGGACGGGGAGGTCCCCTCAGGAAGGACAAATCCAAACCCATCGGATCCCATGTCCAACCCTCCCTCCGAACTGCCAAATAACGATGACAGCAGTGCTAATAAAAAATCAATAACCATTTATTCGATACAGCTGTTTCATACATACAGTACAGGGAGCGCCTCCGCAGGGGCTCAGCTGCTCGGAGCTGCTCGGACAGTACTCTCCAACTGAGGATTTGTCAATGATTAACAAAAGAACAGATCGTCACAAATCGGGAGTTTATTATAAGATAGTTTACCGTTAAAACAATTTTATTTTTTGCAAATAAACACTTTTTAATATATATATTTATATATTTATATATATGGTTACAAGTGATAAATTGAAAATTCTTTTTTTTTCCTATTTTTTTTTAATGTTTTCATTTTTTCCCCAAAATACACTTATGCACTAATAACTGGCATCGACGAGAAACATTCGGATATGCCATGGGATGGGTGTCACGAGGAGAGAAAGAAAAGAACAAAACGCTCCCAAGGCTCCTGGGTGTGAGAGATGCTCCAGGCCCAGGCAGCTCCATCCACGGTGGCTGGATTTGGCCCTCGCTTCCCGCCTGGAGCCAGCACAGCACACCCACCCTCACCGGGGTGTGGTGTCAGTGCCAGGGGTTCCTCAGCCACAGCAGCCCCCCGTGACTGTAGCTTTCCATGAGGTCTTCCCATGGGGTTGCAGTCCATCCCTGCTCCCACAGAGGTTTAGCCCTTTCCTTGGGGACAAGGGTGACGGGATGGTGGGTTTCCACAACAGCAGAGGTGTGGGACCACAGTGTCACTGTCCCCAGGGTGACAAAACTCCCAAACCCTGCAGATGAGGGGATAGAAAGGGACAGGACATCTTGTCCCCACATCTGGTCCTGCAGCCTCTGCCCATCCCTCTGGATCAAGGTGGTTTCCCAGCTGGCGCTGCCTCACTGGGAGCACCTGAAGGGGCACAACCTGCTGGCCCCAGCAATGCCACTGTGGTGTCACTCAGCCCTGCCCACTCGCTGGCAGCTGCTGGGGTCCCAGCATCGCTCTGGAACCTTCCCTGGACAAGCAGGAGAGTTAAGGATGTCTCATGGAGAAAGTGGGGGAACATGTTCCTCTCTGAGTGATGACTAGTGGGGAAAACACCTTTTCAGGGGAAAAAAACCCCTTGAAGATTTCATTTTCTCATGGAAATTCCCAACTGACCACAGTGCTGCCCTCACCAGGGCTGTGTGTGTTTCCCAGGTCTGAGGGTGACAGGGACAGCACCAGGACTGCCGCTCCTACTGCTGACCCTAAGATCCCAGATGGTCCCTGGGGTCCCCTCCAGGCTGGTGTCACTCTGTGAGGTCACCACAGCTGTCCCTGCTCCTCTCAGGATGCTCCTTTGCAGACACTCTCGTTAAGGAAGCAGATGTTGGGTTTTGATGTGGACTCCCTGACAACTCCCCAAGCCGGCCCTTTCCTGGGTCTCCCTCGCCCTGAGCAGCTCCCAGGGCTCCCCCCACATGCAGCACAGTGCTGCCTCTTAATTTAATCGACGAGAAGCCAATTAATTGCACATTAATGAGAATGGAGCCCTGGGCTCTGCCCGGGGGGAGGCGGTGGGGATTGTGTGGTGACCATCCGAGCCAGCAGTCCGGGCCACCTGGGTCACCCCTCCCTGGGTCAGGATATGAAGCTTTCCCGAGGGCTTTCTTCAGTGGTGGGACATGATTTTGGGATGCAGCGGCTCCCTCTGCCCCTTTGCAGAGATTTCTGTGCCAGGTCTCCATCTCTGCCCACTGTCCCCTTCCTGCTGCTGCTGGCCTCCCCAGTAGCCCCAGTGTGCCCCCCAAACGCCCTCTTGGCATGGGGGGGGTCACTGCCCTCCCAGCCATTGTGGCTTTGACAAGGGCACACGGGCTCAGCACCAGAGAACACCACTGCCAGGACAGCGCCCCAACGTCCCTGTCGTGACAAAGAGCGAGCAGCTCCACGCACGCACATCCTACACCTCCTGGAGCTCTCCCCCTTCCCCGGGGAGGCAGGATCTGCCCCGGTGACAGCATCCAAATACAGATCCAATGAAGAGCAAGCAGCGACCAGGCTGTGCCGCAGTGACTAATTAAGCTTTCTCACTAATTGCCTCGAGGCCCGGCACAGCCAGCAGTGCTCCAGCACGTTCCCTCATCCGCAGGCACGTGCCCAGCTCGCCGGGCAATGTAGAGCGTGGATCCAGGGGCCGGAGCCATGGACAGAGCAGGAGACCGGGCTCCCCGAGAAGCCCTGGCTTCAGCCACCACCGTCCCCCCTCCCTGCCCGGCTGGAATAACCTGCCAGTGGAGGATGTTAATTATGACTGAGCCGCTGCTCGAAGCCAGGGAATGATACCAAGCCTCTAGCGGGCAGCAAGGAGCAGCGACTCCTGGGAAAGAGAGGATTGAGGTTTGAACTGATTAAAGCAAAAGCAGAAGCTCCGATGCCACTTTCCTGGCTCTGCATAGGGAAAAAAATCGAATTAAGGTTTTCTGTTCTGTTACCGAGAGGAAACGTGCCTGTTTCCCAAGGACCGAGGTAGCCTGGTTTTGTCTGGAGACGGATACGTCCTGGTCCAGGGAGGGTTCCCTCTGGGCTGGAGCGAGGTGTGATGACCGTGTCAGCACAGGTGCAAAGAGCCCGGGGGAAGAGCACAAGCAGGGACGGCACCACAGGGACCTCCCATCCCGAGGGGGATGATCGGGGGCTCAGATGCATCTTTGGGAGCAGGAACTCCCCCTACAGCGGGTCCCGGCCCCGAGGGACGAGGGGAGCGGGAGGTGCCTGGGCAGCAGCTGGGCTCGCCCCAAAGCAGGACCCGTGATTGTCACTTGATGCTGCCCCTGTTCCCATCACACACCTCCCACGGCTGCAACTGGGGAACCGAGACCCCATTCCTCCCTTTAGTGTGATTGGATAGAGCCAATGGGACTCTCAACCACCCTTGGATGCCCCCCCAGGCTGGGGGGGCAGGTTGATGGCTGCCATCTCCCCCTGACCCCGGCACTGCCAGCTGCGTTTGCAAATACAATCCGAGCACAGCTCCCTCATTGCGCCCCCTCCTTGGTCGCACTGCCCCGCTCCACGGTGCCCACAACACTCCCCCAACCTTCCGTTAAACTCTCCAACCCGACCAGTTCCACCTCCCGCTCTCGCCCCCCGCACCCTCAGCCCTGGTCACACTCCGTGCCCACGTTCCCTGTTCCCTCCTCTGCCTGCGCCGCTGAGACAAACCCTGCAAAGCCGACACCCCACGGAGCCGATCCCTGCCAAACGCATTCACCCTCGACCTGAGGCAGCGGGGAAAGTGCTGCCGACCCCCCCGGCATCCGCTGCTGGACCCTATGCCCGACCAGGTCAAACATCTTTGGAAACATTGCCCTGGAGCTGGAAGGCTGGGGCCCGCTGGAGGCTGCCAGGCAGGCAGGCAGCTCCCTGCCCCGGCACGCAGCTGCTGGCGGAGGGTCCCCATCCACGGGACCCGCTGCTATTGCACTTCTCTTTCACTCAAGCGTCACCAGTTTGGCGCAGGGGAGGGGAATCACGGGCTGGGGGAGGCAGCGGGGTCCC